GAGAGAGAGAGAGAGAGAGAGAGAGAGAGAGAGAGAGAGAGAGGGTGGAGGGGTCCCAGGATTGGGGGAAGAGAGGGATGGACAGCAACAGAGGGGGCTGATGGTCAACAGAAAGAGAGACAGAAGATGAGAGGGACTATCTCATCAGTGTGTGTACATATCAACATATGGACCACTGAACTTTCTTTGCAAACCCCCATAGAGTTAGCGATAGACATCGGGTATGTATGTGCGAGTGTGTGTGAGGTAGAGGCGACAGCAGCGAGGCAAGACAGAATAGGGGTGTATTAGCACTAGTGGGCAGTCAGCAGTTTGCTCCAGCCCTCTGTAAAGCCCCGCTCCATTGTTTGCGGTGCTGGAGGCTTTAGCTGTGGCCCAGCAGGGCCTTGTTACTGGGCTTAGAGGGGCTGGACACTGGATACCAGTCAGACACAACCACAGCCGACACATCTCGGATGGAGGGAAACACAACCTCCACTCACGGCATTTCATCAGTGAATGATCAGAAATGTAATTTGATGGTTAAGGCTGGCCTTTTTTCTTTCTTTAAATTCATTTTAAACAAATCTCATGAAAAGCACAAAAAACAACAATACTTTCCAAGTTCACTGTGGCTCTGTGCCCCAAGTGCATTGGTTCCTACTAAAGAGAAAAACTAAAGGAGTAAATAGTTGAAGCAAATTGAAACAGGGTGTTCCGTGCATCTTCTAGCAGCATGCAGCTGAATCAGGTGCCTCCCAGCTCAAGGACAGCAAACTCCGACCAAAATGGAAAAAGGGACTGGAGCACACTGATTGATTTGCAGCCTTCAAATAAAACATTTCAATATTGCTGTGTCTCCATCAGAGCCCAATAGGACAAAGACAAAAAGCCAACACATATAGTCAACCTACAACAGGTGTGCAGAATATTATTTCACTTTTAAACGTTATTGGTAGAACAGCAACTAGAAATAGGCCTCCCTCAATTATTTCTGAAGACCAAACAAGCTTCATCAGTGGAAGACATTTATTCTCAAATGTATGGAGTCTGCTTACAGTAGTATCCACTCCACCTACAGCCACAGAGCCTGAAGTACTACTTTCTCTGGACGCTGGGAAGGCCTTTGAGCGGGTTGAATGGGTTTGGCAAGAATTTAATTTCCTGGATCCGTCTTCTTAATTAATTCCTCAAGCCCGTGTTCAACCAAATAATCATACTTCCTGCTTCCCCATTGACCCGCCATGACCGTCCGCTGTCACCACTGTTGTTTGCAGTGGTTATTGAACCTTTGGCCATCATGCTGGAAACCTCAACACATCTGCAAGAGTTACCCTGGAGTAATATAGAGCATCGGGTTTCTCTGTATACGTGGATGACCTGTTACTGTATATAAAAGACCCAATCAGAAATAAGATAAATCAGATTCTGGATAATTTTGTTTTCAGGCTACAAAATCAATCTTCATTAAATGTGTTCAAAAAAGTCTTATTTATCTGGAGATTAACATTATATATTCATGAGCTTTAAAAAATAAATTCTGACCAGCTACTGAGACTTACAAAAATGTCCAAATTATCATCGTTATTAGCCAGTAGAGTGCAAACTATAAATAAAATAACGTTTTGCCATGGTTTCGGTATTTTTTTCAGAGCCTCCCTCTCTTTCTGACAAAATCATTCTCTCGTTTGTCTGGGCAGGAAAGGTGGCGTAAGAGTAAGAAAAGGGGAGTTAGATTGGTGTAAAATGGAATCGCTCTCCTGCCACACATCCTCACTTGCAGCTTTGACATGCTCTCCGTTATCTGTCTCATCAGTAAAGTATTCGTCAAACAGTTGTTTTGTCAGCCCTGAAGATATGGACACAGTTCCGTAAACACTTCAAGCTGTTCAACCTGAGGCTCTTTGGCCCAGTTATGCAATGACAATCTATTTCAACCATCTAAACTCAACTCTGCCCACACAGTTTGGAATAACGAAGGAATCATATTATTCAGACACCTGTTTTTGGATGGCACATTTGCCGACCAGCAAATATAACCTGCCTCGAGGTGCCTTTTGGGCTAGCTCAAGGTTTGCAGCTTTATTATGAATCACTGCGCTACATTTCCTCACTTGACTCCGGAAAAATTGTCAAGTGTTGAAGAGAAACCAGAAAACTTGACAGGGTTGACATCTAAGTTATACAAATAAATCCTTAGATTTGATCTCCTTCCATTTGACAAAATTTAACGCGAGTGAGTGGCTAAACTGGAAACACAGTTTCAAGACCCCTGGTGGGAGAAAAAAGCCAAATTACAGGTTAATTATTCCTCCTCTTGTTCCTCTCAATCTTATAAAGTTGTACCTCGGCAGAGCTAAACTGGCAAAATAGTTCCCTGGCACCAGTAAAAGATGCACCTCTCCTCTTTCCCATCTAGGGAAAAAATGAGAAAGTGCCTTTCTAAGTTATGGAATGTGGAGCTACATTACCAAAATATGAGAAGATAGGTTGCCATGTAATATTTAAAACTCGAGGTGAGTTCTTGATTATTTTTCTCCAGTTTAAGGACCGACATTAAACCGTCTGCCAAGACTATGACTCCGTAGCTCTGGGTAGACAGATACAGTATGTTGATCGGATAATTCAGGATCAATGAGTGGAAATGGGCCGGTTGTGTTCTTGCAGGGCTGACGAGGTGAAGTGGAAACAGGTGAGTAGGTGACTGGAGCAGGTGGAGAAGACTGAAGGCATCTGCTGCACAGGAGGATAATGCTGAATGGGTTTTGGGGAAATGAGAATGTGGCCGGACAGAGAGGCAGCACAGAGGGGGCACTGAGAATGGGCTTTGGATATAACTTGTGTGGGAACCTGTCATGAACTAAACTTTTGCACGAGTCAAAAGTCTGCAAAATGAATCCACTAAATCAGCTTCACGTTTTCTGATCTGATGCCACTATTGACAAGAAGCCATCTTCTATCAGTGTATTCCAAACCGTTACAAACCACTGTTTCAAAAAACAAACAAAAAACATCCACCATCAGCTCCTCCCTGCACGGAATTGGTTTTCTTCCAAATCATAATCTAATTGTTGTTGAGATATTTCACTGGACCAAAGTGTTGCATTGCCATATCACATGCGGCTAATCGTCAACAAAAATCACGCGATACCTCCAAAAGTTTGTACATTTTTTTAAAATAGTGAATTATTCACCGCTACTTTTCTACATTTGTGGTTTCTCCCCCACAGAGGAAACATGCTTCATCACCTCCCAGGCTGATAACTGTAGTTTATACTCATTTTATCAGAAGGTGTTTGGCTGCCACATGCCTCAGCTAATCCCTACAAAGTGCAGAGTAGTTGAGAGCTGAGTCATTGAGGACGGAGCCAGCGTGTGCACACACTCGCTTCAAACCCTGAGAATCCTGTGGGTTTAACAGAAAGTGACTCAGCAGGATCACACAGGTTTTCTTCTCCCGATGCCGCTTGCTCACAGCTCAGACCTTCAAGCTTAAAAACGTAGTCGACAGCACTCCTCTACTTTTCCACCGCTCAGTAAGATGAATCATTTATTTCGAGGCATTAATCATCATTTCTGTGAAGACACAACCGCTGCTGTAGGAAAGGCCACCAGAGGGGCAGCAGAAACGCACACAAACCAGATCACATGTATGACCGACAGACTGGACAATCTCATGGTGGTATCAGGGCAATGACACAGAGAACAGGGCAACTTTTGAGGGAACTTTGAAGGAGTTACATACATGAATTATTTCTAACATCTAATATCTAACTCATAGATTAAGATTTGATATTTAAAGCTACTACGAGGAGCTGACATTTTTTGGTTGATTTTGGCTGCCCCTGTGGACAAAAGTGGAAGTGTTTACGAGCACCATAACCCTTTTAGAAAACCACTAATTTTACCGCAGCAGGGGTCTGACAGTCTGCCCGGCTCAGTCCTGGTTCTCCCTTGCCTCCAGCGGGCTCAGCAATACAGCCTGGGCCTCCAGCAGCGTGGTGTCGGTGTCGACTGCCATCGGCGCAGCGAGGCGAAGCTCTGCTCACTGGCTGGAGGGGGAGCTGCTGCTTCCGGCCACTTAGCTCTTTACCTTCTGCTGCAGGTTCGACTGCAGGTCGAAGGTGGAAAGCGACGCCGGATTGGGGTCTGTCGGAGGAGAGTTGGTTTCTGCCGGAGCCACTTGAGTCTGAGCTGAAGGACTTTATCTGAGTTTTGCAAGTCATGGCCCCCATAGCATGTATCTCTCTGACTTCGGTGATCCTCTGACGTCACCTTTAGTGCCACAGGAGGTTGACATTTGTGGTTATGATTGAAATATTAAACTACTTTTGGAAGGAGTGCCATGAAATGTAATCTGTTCCCCACAGGATCCCCAAGACTAAAGACACAAGGTTTTCTGGAACTAAACAACCATCTTCAATTCACTTTTGGCACTTAAATAGCTTCCAGAGCTGATATTTGTCTTTAAAGCAAGACATTTATTTTCAGACTGTGGTATTGCCAACATCCCCATGTGGGATTCGTGGCAGGCTTTTATGAAGAGGCGTTCTTAGAGAGGCCATCTTGGAAAACAGGTTTTGCCAATCATCTTTGGCGCTTTGGAAAAGTATCTTGTATGAGTAAAAGACCAAACATGAGTCCCACTGGAGGTGAAACAGGTTTAAGTCGGCCCTTTAACGACCAAGCAAATGAACCACACAGGAGAGAGCTGAGAAATTATCTAAGTTGGTGGATAATATTCAGAAACACGAAGGGGACGAGAGCTCAGAAACAGAATGTTTTATTTGCTTTATCGGTCTCCAGTCCTGCTGCAGAAGCTAACCAGCTCAGGAGTACAAACAGAAGGAGAAATCAATGATTTTTAATGACAGTTAAAACATTGAGTTTGGTCCCATTGGATTCTTTTGCTGGAAAACATACAGTAGAGGTAAACAAATCTTGCACAGTATCCAGTTGTTGTGCTGCAGTTCTTCTCTGGCTGCTGTGATGTTTGTTCGATGCTGATCGAGCCCTGGGGGAAAGAGAAGAGGGGGAGTCCTTCAGTTAATACAAAGACTACAACATACAGTTTCACAGGAAGTTGTTTTAGGGTCAAACCTGGACATGGCCCAGGTCAGCCTGTTCTCATACAGCATTTGTAGCGTATACCTACGAAAACGAATGCGCTGTAACTTTGTAGGTATTCGACAAATCAATTTGTATGTAATCTACGCGATCATGTACCAGGAAGTATAAAGACCACAACAACCAATACAGGTTGGGAGAAAAAAACAAAAGAGTGTTCTGGCTTCCTCATTTAGAACGAGACGTCAATTAAAAATCTCAGCTGAAGGGATTTCTTTCAAACCTGGCAATCCAATTGTTTTTATCTGGCATATTTGATAATTCATTTTTAAAAAAAGACTGAGATAGTTACAGCACCAATGCACATGCACGATGAAAAGAATGTGAAAAAAAAGACGACACAAAAAAGTCACACGACTTATTTCCATTGTAGTACTTCTTTCAGTTAAATTAAATAAAAAAATGGGGTTCTTTGTCACAAATTCTAAAACCCATAACTCTATAACTCTATAACATTACTAAATAGCAAAGTCAAGTATCATGCATCATAACGTGAAATCCAGTCGTGACTTTGTAGTGGAGCCCCATCTCCAGGCCGGTGTAGGATCACCGCCGTGTTCAAGCGACGGGACTCCACCCTTTGCTGTCCGCACCCTCGTCACCACATCTGTCCACTGAGAGGACACCATGGTAATTAAAGTGCAGTTGTTTTTATCCACCTCCACACACCGACACACAGATACACCCCCCCCACACACACACACCATGCTGCTCGCTCACCTCTTGTTCAGTTTTACATAGTTTTAGAAAGTAGCACAGGGACTGTAGATTGTACGGTGCTACGTGGTATTTTGTATGTTTCTTTTCACCTGCAGAGGAGCCACGGACATATGATTTTCACATTTGCTATTTTGGCTGTATTTGTGCCAAATTTGTAGTGCATCTCAGTGGTAATTTCTTATGAAATATTGTCTTTTTTTCAATGAAAAACACTCAGCAAGACTAAAAAAGAAACAATCTAATCAAAGGCAGCGAAAATACAATTTGAAGCCTTCCGTGTGATTTTCTCTCCTTTATTATGTTTTGATTCCATTTGATCTTCTCTGCATCTCATCTCTTTTGTCAAGCGGACTGATTATCCAGCACTTATTTTCGTCCTCCTTTGTCTTGATTGTTAGTGGTCACTTTGTGTTTAAATGTGATATTTTCAAAAAGCTGCCTGTTGCATTGCTTGTGCATCAATTGCGTCTCTCCTTGCTTTGATTTTTAAAACAATGTCATCATGTTTTTCTCTCTCTTCTTTTTCTACTTTTTTTAATCACTGTGTGAATCAACTTCATGTCTTCAAAGCTTCACTTTATTACACGCATAGAAAACATTTTGACCCGAGGAAGATCAGCGCCACGTCAGGAATGTTGTCACTCGATATTCAGTGTCACTTCTACACCCCCCCCCCCCCACACCCACACACAGTACCTGCTGCATGTACTTTGGTCCTTCCTGAAGCACCGTGAATCATCTGCATGGAGAGTAAAACAAACACAAAAGATATAATCTGTCACAACACTGCATAGAAAATTAGTCTATTTTACTGGGTGGTCCTCGGGGCAACACACACACACACACACACACACTGAAGGCGTACCCTGGCAGCATGAGGCTCTTTCCATTACAGAATTAGCTGGGCGGTGCAGATAAACTGAATGTCTCTTCACTCGTCCCTGATGTAAAATGTAAACCTCCCCCCAACAGAGTGTTGTACATCTGTAGGTTGAATGCTTCTTTATCTTATTCTTCTCATTAGCACTGTTAGTATTCTTTATTATCATGTTTGTCACAGCTAGACTCTATTGTCTGTTGTATTATGTTAGTCGTTGCTTTTAGAGAGCAGGATATCAATTAACCTACGTAATAGTCATTTTGTGGAAGTGTTGTTAATTTAACAACGGACCAAAACACAATGTGGCCATGTGGTCTATTGTAAACCACTGGATTCTGTTGCTCATACAGAGAACTGCTGAACTGTGAAGCAAGGGAAGATATTACTTATTTTTCTCCCTGGACTCCATGATTCAAAACAAATGTCTTGTTGCGGGCAACACCCACTTCAGCCCATTTTTAAACTGCTGGCAAACCTTTTGTCCTGCAAATGTCTTCCAAATAAACTGTGCTCCTGAGCACAGGGGTTTTGATTTTTGGAGCAAAATGCATCAAATGCTGCAAGTTAGTTAAGTCCAGTTAGCCTTGGGTAGAGAACTTAAACCTCACCCTGCCTCTCCCAGCACGCACACACACACACACACACACACGCACACACACACACACACACACACACACACACACACACACACATGCACACACACATTGGACAGGTGGGGGGCTGGAGGGTTAACAGGGAGACAGAAATAACCTCCAGGGTTATCTCCAGGGCTGTGCTGCGTTCCACGACCCCCTACATAGTTTACATACTGGGAAGTGATATGTTGGAGATCCCTCAGCGTGTGTGTGTGTGTGTGTGTACAGGTTTATATTTGGCTCTGGGTTTGATTCTCTCATTACAGACACACCCATCAACAGCTGGATCCAGTGGACCACAGCTGGACTTTGAGTTTTGACTGGACTGTGATTCAGTTCAATAAAATGTAAGAAATTACAGAGAGGATTCATTAATATACAACTTTCTGGACCGTGACTAAAACTGGTCTTATTGAACTTCATTGTGATGACTTGAGTTATGAAACACGACAGAAACACCCCTCGCTCTTTTCTGGGGACATCTTTAAACTTTTACATTTTACTGAGCTTACATTTTGAGCCCGATTCCAGTTGACTCTAATTTCCATTTGAATCCCTGAACAGCACGTGAGCGAGACAAGAGGAGAGCTTCAACACTGTCTGACAGTCAGGAGAGACTGCCAGTTTAAAACCTGCACCAATACTGCCCTCAAGTGGTGGAAACCTGCTACTGCAAAGGGACGGATCTCCAAATAACCTCTCACTGGAAACGATAAGAAAATAAAAATAACTGAAGGATCAATAACTGCACAGAAAAATCAATTTACATGTGATGCAAAACATAAAAATAACATAATAATATGAGGATAATGCTGTTGAAGCATGCATTTATTTATCACCATTGCAACAATTCCACAACATCTTTTGTCCTTCCGCCACACATCTGTTGCCTCTTATACAAACATGCACACCAAACAAACCCACACACGCCTACGTAACCCAATCTGATTGTAATCTAAACTCCATTACGTCATCGTAACTGCTTTATGTTATTGTCTGTATGTCTGTCTGTCTTCCATGTTTATGTGACTATATGTATTTTTTTTGTCACATTGCTTCACCAATAAAATAAAGAAAGAAAGAATAATGATAATAATAATAATAATTGTAATAAAACAATAGATTACACACAATGAGCTGTTACCACTAAACCTTAATACTGCAATGGTTATTCTAGGGTAACAACTCATTTAATCTGCTGTCTCTTTTTTGCAGTTTGCAACCAGAGTTTAATTCTTGAATCAAATAAAATGGAGAGGTGCAGATGAATTCACCCTGATACAATTATGGATTATTGTGCTTTTAGGATAACAGGAAGCCTAACTGTACTGTAGTTGACAACCTGTACAGAGTAAATCTGAAACAAACTCTCCGAATTTATTTTAAAACATTCGAAGATTTTACGTCACGAGTGTGTGAATGGACTGAAGGTGAGCGCACAAAGTTATAGAAAAGCGGAATAGAATGTCTACCTGAAAGAGACATCAGCCGGACACGGAGCGGACATCAGCCGAGCACGGAGCGGACATCAGCGGGACACGGAGTGGACATCAGCCGGGCACGGAGTGGACATCAGCCGGGCACGGAGCGGACATCAGCGGGACATGGAGCGGACATCAGCCGGGCACGGAGTGGACATCAGCCGGGCACGGAGCGGACATCAGCGGGACACGGAGCGGACATCAGCGGGACACGGAGTGGACATCAGCGGGACTTGAATCTGCAGAGACAGCAGTTTGACAGATGGCCAACAATTCAACTATAACGACTGATAGTCGAACAGCAACGCGGGTTTGTGAGTGTGCTCCTCAGACAGCGGGGTGCAGGACGACTGAAGGCTGTCACACTGACCGACGACTTTAAATTTAAACTTAACGCAACACGTGCGCCCAGGAAGCCCAGTTAGGTCTCAGTCAGACTCTCAGTCCGAGCCATAAGCTGCATGTCTAATAATAGATGCCATGTGCTCGAGATCAACTGTAGTTACACCACCATATGTGGACAGGACTTGACGATGCGTTGATACACAATAAGGGAGCTATATGCGGACATGGTGAAATACGCAACATCGATTAAAAACAATATTCTATTATATTAGACAAAACTACTTTGGGACTTGAAATGGATTTGCTCCTCTGTCCTCATATTCTTACCTTCATTCTTGTGAAATAATTCCGGGTGGCATCAAATATTATTTTATCATAACTCTCTTTGTGTATAAAAGCAGCCGACTAACAACCTCTCCAGTCCCGCGTGGCGCCATGTCCGCCCTGCTGACCGGTTCCCCCCCCCCGGGGAAGTTAACGCTCCTCCTCCGCGCGGCTGCTGTGCGCAGATGGAGGCTCATAGGAATGTATGGAGACAAAGAAGCTGTTGTGTTGTGAAATAACATCACAGCCGGCGGCCAGAGGACAGTCCAGCTGCCCCTGTCATAACGACAACAATAATAATAATAATAGTAATAATAAAAGCAATTTTATTTGGTAGAAAGTAATCCTGGTGGTGGCTGTTGGTTCACTTTATTTATACATTATATATATTTTTTGTGAAATAGTCAGGTGTATATACTGTATATATAAAATATATTATATTATATCATGTATAATATATGTCTATCAGATGCAGATATATTATACTGAATACTGTAGCACAAGCCCACCATAAGAAATAAGTACAGGAAGCCAGTGTTTACAGTGTTTTGATGAAATGTCACTGTAGCCTGAAGGGAAAACAAATCTACCAAATATTGATTTGGGTTTGGTCGGCACTGCAGAGACTCTGCTTGAAAAGACTCTGATAAGGAGCAGAAAAAAACTGGATATTTATACATTTATCTGAGCTCTGTGACCTCCCAACAAGAACAAAGAACTAAACCGCCACCACCTCAGGCCCGAGTCATGCTCCATCCACTTCTGTCTGCTGGGGACAACCAGACACCTTTTCGACAGGTGGTCCTCACGTCTTCCTCCCTGTATACTGCTGATGAAAACTCAGCAAGGTCTATCCAATATTACACCCTCCATTTCTAGCACGAGGAATAAAACTCAGTAGCTCAATTTCACAGAACGAGAGCATCACGATCAATGAAATCCTTTTCCTCCACACTACTTCACTATAACAGCAACAGAATTTTAAATGACTATATATCCGTTTGTCTTTCTCTTTGAGCTCCTTTCTGTGGCTCAGTAATTGGAATCCAGTCTGACAAAGAGAGACGGCCGTCCTACAGCAGACCTTCTGCACAGTAACATCATTAGATCATTATTAGCACTGCAGCTCCACAGGCCATTCCGGCTGGCTCAGAGAGAGTCAATTATGTTTCAAGGGAAACGGCCATAACGAGATCCTACATGCTTTTTGGAAGTTTTAGGAACATGAACTCAATATTGGTTCAAGGATTTTAACTTTTTAGTATTTCTGGCATTGAGGGGACTGTGTATGAAGCAGCAATTAGACGATCATGAAGGGAATGCTGTTTCGTTTTAAAGGGTGCGGATGTGTGGAGAGAAACATTATGTGACTAATATAGTTAGAGTGGTGCAGGTTGCTAGGTGAATCAGGAGTCATGACCTCATTGTTTCTTTAACCCTGCAGCTCCTTTACTTGATGACAGTCTGAAACATCGTGTGACGTAAGAATGAAACAAACAGAAGTTGTGAGATTGTAAATAAATGAATATATATGTGTATCAGAGTGAAGCACTTTAAACAGGTTTGATTCAAACACATTTATTGAGAGTGATTTCTGTATAAAGAGGAAGCTGATGTCCACAATATTCCTATCAGCACACCACGACTAGCTTCTTCAGACAGCTGCCATAACAACCACCTCTTCAGCCATTGGTTCTTTCAATCACTCCACACGGTGGAAATTAAACAAGTTCATTTAAAACTTTCAATCTATCGTGTACACGGCTGATTTAGTATTAAATTAGTTTATTTTAAAAACCAGTCATGAAGACTGAGTAATCTTATGAACAGCTCACCGGCATCAACATTCATTATTCCAGACTACAGCAAACTAAAAGGATTCATTAAGAAAACTACTTCACTCCCTGAGGTGAGCTGGGATATTACAAATAAACCCCACTGAGGCTGGTGAGGTTTTAAAACTAGACACGGTGATCGATGAGTAGATCACTAGACACTGTGATCGATGGGAGCCAGTAGATGTGATTCATCATGAAACAGACCTGACTGAAGAAAAGCTGACACAGCGCCCTCTTCTGCTACTGGCACCATAGTACATGACGGAAACCCCGTGATTAAAGAAAATAAAGTCAGTTTGAGGTTTTTAGGAGAAACAACAACTGTTCCACCAACATGGTCCGATGTTACAGATGTCTTATTACACATGTAGTTTGAATCCCGGGCCAGCTTTGATAGAAACACAAAAGAAATGCAAAATAATAATTGCCTTAAAATAAAAAATGGCACCTGTGAACAACCCTTTAACAGCTGGCAGCACTGGTTTGATGGCACATTCCTCTGGTTAAATAGGAGTCAGCACTAAAGCTGTGATTAGCTAGGTGTACTGGAAGTCAGCTATCTTTCTTTGGACCGTAGCCAACTGGGAAACTCCGCTCCGCTAAGAGGTCGTCTGATTTCTCAACTCAAGAGTTTCCGTGTTCACCGCGAGGACAACTGTCTCAGCTGGCTGGTGAAATACTGAAACAAACTACAGCACTGCAACACGTGTTGGCACACAAGTGTCCACACTGCCGGTGGTAAAAACTAACACAAGTCTTTGTGGTTGGAGTGCTGGGTGAGAGGGGTGCTGTAGGCGGAGTCCCAGTCCCTCTCGAACACGGCCTTCAGCTGCGACTGGACGGTCGGCTCCGAGGACTGAGACGCGGTCTGGTTGACTACCAGCGCCGAGCCGGCCGTGCTCATGAAGTAGTCACCTGACCAGTTAGACGTACCTGAAGACACAAACACACAGATCAGATCTCAGCCATTTCAGCGCTGTTGTATATATATATTAGTGCTGGGCAAGTTAACGCCTTATTTTCGCGTTAACACATTCATTATTAATTAACGCCGACAATTATTTTATTGCGCGTTAACGCATTTTTAAAATTTATTATTATTATTATTTTATTATTTTTTTTTAATTGAAAGACAAGAGACAATACATAGACACAACAACAAGAGGATGACAAGAACAGTGGGATAAAAGCCAGCAAACATCCTATAGTCAGTTGTGTATGTGTGTGTGTGTGTGTGTTGCCGTAGAGAAAAGGCGACTTCCGCTTCTGGTCGAGGGGGGGGGGGGGCAGAAATAAAGAGAGAAGCTGCACCAGCTGTTGCTCTCCCTGGAGACTACTGGACATCGCTGCGGTAAAGTCAGCAGACACTCAGATCTCCGTGGTCAACTCAGCAGACACTTACATGTTAGTGCACCTATATGCTGAAATTCACGGTAAACGCATTTAAACGGCACAGATCGGGAGCGAGCGAAGGACTTTGAAAGTTAGCGGTAAGATTAACGTGAGACAACATCCGGTTTCTTCAGACGAACATCCGGTTTTCAGAATAAGATGCCATCAAAGTATGAATTATATTCACATTAAGTATAAAACATGCTACCTGCATCTCGTGAACCAAATGTTATTGCACTTTTGTTCATATAGCAGTACTTTTAAAATGAAAATGCGCAATACACTACTTTTGAATTCATTATTGAACTTTGCCATAACAATGGGATTAATCACAAAAATCCATGCCCAGCACTAATATATATATATATATATATATATATATATATATACACACACACACACAGTCAGATGTGAATATTACTGTTTTCATTATTGATTCAGCGTGCAGTGTGCGTGCAGCCTTACCTATGTAGGCTATCTTATCAGTCACCATGTACTTGTTGTGGTTGACTCTGGCAAAGGGAATCTCCTTCTGCTTGGGGCTGGCCGGCACCACAAACAGCCTCTGCATGAGGAAATAACAGTCATCAGGTTATGCATTTGACTATAAAACAGTCATCATAATATGTACTAACTCCTGTCTCTGTGGCAGAGGACACATGACCAGCTCTTCTTATGAAGAAACACAGAGGAGCTACTCACCACCTGGATGTCCAGCCTGCTCTTGGGGTCGTACACTGAGGCCAGAGACTTCAGGAAGGGAAACATGACTGGTTGGGTGCTGGCCCAGCAGCTGATCAGCAGGCGCACCATGACCCGCTTCTCGTACCCGACCCGCCTCAGCTGGGTGTCGATGTCGGCCCAGTACCTGCAGGGGGGGGGGGGGGGTTGCCAGACGTGACGTGGCGACATCTGTACTAAATGTCATCTAATCCATCTAATAATTGTTGAGATATGTTGTTCTGAACCAAAGTGGTGGACGGACGTAGCGTCATGTCGCTAACAAGGCTAAAACATGACCGTGAGCAGCTACCTAAGGGCTCCACAGACTCAAAACTGACCTCTGACTCTGCTAAACTGTCCTCCCTGTAGTGAAACGTCACTTCTACCTTTTAGGATGGGAAAACTCCATGGTGGGCAGGTAGTTCATGACAGCGATGTAGATGAAGCTCTCGGCGTCCTCCATCACGCTGAGGATGGACTGAAGGTCTGGAGTCCGGCCGGCTGCACAGAAGGACGGAGGGGAACTCTTCAGAGGGGAGAGAAAAGAGATCTTGTAAATGTTTTGTTCAATTTTAAGCAACGCGGGGAGCCTTAAACAAAAAAACCTCCCGTCCCTGTTCTCATCTCACCGACAGGTAGACGTTGGACGGCGTGCTGTTGAGCGGCAGCTGGAGGGGCGTGTCCTTGTTGTAGAGGGTGGCGAATCTGTTGGGCCAAGGTGACGGGATCGACTGACTGTCTCCCAGGAGCCAATAGGCTTCGAAGATCTTACCCAGGTCTGCAGCCAAGCAGCTGCAGTTGTAGACCACCACACCCAGCTCCTTCACCTGCACACCAGCACAACATTCACGCCAAGCACAGATGTTTTTAAACTGCGGAGATGAGTAGGGAAAAAACTGCAGGAGCACAGAATTACTTCATATCAAGACATTGATGTAAAGACTGTTTTCTAGACTTTTCTAAACTTATTTTGAAAAACATTTATCTGGTAATTCCTGAGATTGAAAAAAAAATTAGAAATGTCCTAAAGAAATGTCTTAGAAACATATGAGATGTTGGTGCACTCGGGACGCTCATGGAAGTGACAACTCAGCAAAATCAACAGGCCACTGAATATCTGACTAGGAAAGCTACATTTGAGATATTGATGACGTCACAGTATTAAAGCAAATTGAAACTATTCTTTCTGCACGGCGTGTGACCGAAACTTTTGAGGCGACACAAGAACTTCCTCCTAAAAGCAGAAGACACGTCGTTCTGCTCGCATGCTTTTCGATCCGATTCAGAAAGCTAACACTGACTTCTGAAAGTAACAACTCAACAATACTGAACAATTCATTATCCACCCGGGAAACCATTTAAGACATTTCCATTCACATGATTAAAAAAAAAAGTGATTGTGAGTATTAACCTGTGTGAGGGACCTCCAGTCCATGTTGGCGCTGCCGATGTAAATGTGCTTCTTGTCCACGACCCAGAACTTTGTGTGGAGGACGCCTGAGGTGAGCTCTCTCACGTTAACTGTCCTGATGTCAGCTCCTGACACACACACACACACACACACACACACACACACACACACACACACA